TAATTGGGAGGGAGTAATTACACTCTCCAATTGGGGGTTGGGGGAGGAGGGTTTAAAGAATTGGGTGTAATTACATGATCTAACTACAAGGCAACCTTTCCAAATTTTTTTTCCATTCAATATTATATTATTCATCTGTGAAACAAAAAAGATAGGAAAGGCAGAGCATTTCTACTTCTTCTCAACGGCGTCTCTGCAATTCCACTCCAGGTAAGCTCTTTTTTCCCCCCTTTATTATTGCATACTTTCTTGATAGCTGACTCCTTATTGAACTTTTTTATTTTCTTAACTTCACGATGCCTTGAGCTATCGTGTTGTGCGCTAGAATTTTTGACCTTTCAATTTTAGAAGGGTGAAATTTGGTAGAAGAATACTCCCTCCGTCTCATGCTATCAGTCGTGGTTACTAAAAATAGTTGTCTCAAATTATTTGTTATTTTATAAGTTCAGGACAAAATAGATTATCTTTTTCCTTTTTTACCCCTAGTAATAATTGTTCTTGAAAATGGAGATAACACATAAATAGAATAAATATTCAATGAAGAGAGATTTCTCTTTCCTAATTAATGTTTCTTAAAGGGCGTGTAAAAAGAGAAACACGACAGATAATTTGAGATATAAGGAGTAGTTTTTAAGAAAAAGAATGATTACATTCCCATGGTCAACAGACTCCAGGTAAGTTCAACGCTTGTGAATTAAGCTACAACTAATGCATACAAATATCATTTCTTGTCATATTCAGTTTTCAGATTGTAATAATGTATTATATTGGAAATAGGAAAGATGGATCTATATAAAAAAAAGTGGTACTATTTGTGTGGGAAAAAATCTTTGTGTTTTCCCCTAATTTATGCCATTAAAATAGAATTAGAGAACTTTAATATATTAGAATATTTACTTTTGAAGTGAGTTGCTCGTAAGATCTTGGATAATCAATGACAAATAATTTATGCAATTATAGATGATACCAATTATTTTTATGATATTATCTGTTACTTTATAATTATTTAATATATTTTTTATGCTTTTTCAATATATGATAATATCTAATATCTATTATACATATAAATATTTATCACACAGTGAAAATTATTTACATATTAATATGGAAAAATTATTTATTTATTTATATAATTACACTTGTACAACCAAACATGAGACAAGTAGTTACACTGTAATTAAATCATGATAAACAAACCGGCCATTGTAGTTATAATACTATGTAATTATCAGGCTGTGTAATTACTACCCTAGTAATTACATATGGCGGACCCTTACTGTAGTTCTAGATGAGTATGTGGTTTTTGGCGCAACAGCTATGCGGTTTGCTTTCAAGGTGTCAACTTTAGTGTGGTTCGAGTTGGGGGTTGGAGTCATGTGAATTGGTTTGCAGAGAAGATATTTGTGAGAGGGACAAGATCAAAATAGTCCCTAATTAGCAATTTCGAGTTTTGTAATTCTCTGCTGCATTCTCATTCTTTATGGTTAAATTAGTCCCCAAAGAGATGGTTGAGCGGTTGAGGGATATGAGTAATTGGACATCTTTGGTATAAATCCCAGCTACAACATAAGTGTGAGCCCATTTGCTTGAGTCTTGGTGAGCCAGTTTACCCGACAAAGATGCTTGTCGGGCTAATGAGGTGCGTGCAAGTTGAAAAGGGCTAATAATTAGCTTTTGCTGTTGAAATTAGATAGTTCTCCATTCTTTGAGAAGTATCTCTGCCCTTAAGAGTTAGAGTATTTCACTGCTAATTCTCACAAGAGCTTTTTCTGGTGTCAAACACGCCCAAGTCCGGTGAGCTGTTGACAAATGGTTTCAAGGATCTTAGTTCTTTTATATGATGTTTACAGAAATTTCCACCAGCTCTGCGGGTGAGCTGTCTCCCTATCTACGAGTACACATGCAAATACTACCTCTCTTGCTATATCGACGGTGTTGTATATATGACAAACTATTTTTGAAGATGATCCAAGCCATATTGGAAATATTCCTCTGCAATTGTCCATGCATAGTTTGTAACTGAAATGTGTTGTCCAGCACTGAAATTTGGATATCATACTTTGTGGAGATCCTTAACAATCAGATCTATGTCCCTTATTATTTATTTTTGTAGGAGAGCAGCATGGGAAAACATACCTTTTAAGATTTAACTTGATTACTTTAGCAAAGAATTGGGTTGTTCTTTTAACTTATTTGGTGCCATTTAAATATGTTGTGTGGAAATAACTCTTCTGTGGTAATTCTTTATTCTTGTCAGTGTCCGTCACTAAAAATCCATATTGTGGATTCCGAGGGCATCTCCAACCTTTACCTCATTTTTGGTCCTCAAAATGGAGATTTCCTCATTTTGGGGATAACTTATTCCAACTATTCCCTCATTTTTCCCCCAAACTTTTTTATATTCTTCTCTCTCTTCTATATTATATAATTATCTTTCATTTCAATTTCATTTTTTAATTTCCATTAAACAAATTCCATCTTTTATTTTTATTAATTTGTAATTTCCAAAATTAAAACAATTCCATAAAATTTTAAATAATATAATTTGTAAGCAATTATTATAGATTAACTAATAATTCAAATAAAAGTGAAATTATTGCGATGCAAGATTAATTAAATACATATTACATAACGATAAAATTTATTCGAAATACTAGATGAATATTCAACTTCAACCTCCAGTATTCTCTCATAAATGATCTATTAATGCATTACGAAGTGCAAAATGAGCATCTTTGTCCTTAATTCTTCTATGTCGAAATAAAAATTCTTGAAATCGTTGATTTTCATCTACTGCCATTTCTACATAAAAATAATAAATGCACGAAAATTAATTTATCAAAATTATACACCAAAGTTAAGATATAATATTAATATTATAAAGACATTACATAAACATAATTAGGTATATATACAAAGATAAATTAAAAGAATAAATAATAATAAAAAAGTGATGAATAGTAATGAGGGAGATAAATAGTGTATCCCATATTTGAGGGAACACTATTCATCCCCCATTTTAGGGACAAAAATGGGGGAGGGTTGGAGCTAAATTCCCCCAAATATTTCCCGCATTATGGAGGATGAGGACAAGGTTGGAGATGGCCTGATACTGCATCAGCTCAAATGCTGAAGTGTTTAAGAACAAATAATTTATTTTGCAGCACACAAGTAGTAACCCTAGAGATATGATTAGTATTAAGAACTGTCATTGGCCTTTTTGGGCTACCAAGCATAATTCAGTGGGTGTGACTGTGGAAGCAGAAAAGTTCTGCTGTTCAAACAAGGTACTTAAGAATTCTGCAAAGCATAAAAGTTCTGTAGAACTCTTTTCTAAAACCACAGTAATTCTAAAGACACCTTATGTTACATGTCTTCCACTGCCGGAGCTTCTTCATCAGTCCTAAACTTGTTTTTAGTTTACAACAGACGTGAGCGGACAAATGTGGAAACCTGACACTTTTATAAGTTTCATAGCAAAGTTTAAGATAATTCACAGGAACACATATTTGTGATATCAGTTTTCATTTGAATGGAATCGTAATAGGTTAGCCTTGGGATAAGATATTAACATTTGACAATGTTACTGAATTTCTTTATTATTGCTAGATATTAAGGATGGACCTAGTTGGCATAGTGTGGAGACTGAGCATAGGTATGCAGGGGAAACAGACAACTAACCACAAACTCAGTTTCCTGGATTTGGTACTTGTTTAGGGACTTCAACTTCTTCCCCAGTCTTATACCATGGAATTTTCTGTTAACATGTGAATATATGATGGCACTAGCATAACTGCTATTGCACTGTAGATCTTGTTCTAATATATGCAGGGGCGAAGCTACACACTAGTAAGGGTGGTCAATCTGACCACCGAATTGACCACTCTTCGTCGAAAAATTACACTGCACATATAGGCAAAATATTAGGTTTTAAAGGTATATAACATATATTAAACATCCTTTATCGGGGATTTTTTTTTACTTCTTTCAAGTTTGAATATTCTTGGGAAAATTATTGACTTCGTCACTGAATATGTGATGGGGAGTGAGGTCTTACTGGGCATGCCTAGGTGTGAAAAAGCTCAAGGTTTGGAAGCGTGTAAGGTTCATGGTTGTTATGGAGAGTCTCTTGCCAAAATTTCGGTTTAGTCATTTTCTTTCATTGTTGCCGAAGTTCGACTCCTCTCCTGTTATGTTAACTTAGATGGAAAAGATAGTAAGCACGATTTCTAGCTACCCAAGAATTTCTTCTTCTAATATAAATGAGATTTATAGTTAGATAAAAAATCTCAATCCTAACTAAAAGCAAGAGTACGTAATCTTGTCTTGTGATCTTCCAAATAGGATAGCTTCTACTTGACAATTTGATTTGTTGACTGCCTGAGATACTTAGCTTGATATAAGGCTGGCATGTGGGCCGGTTAGTAGGGCTGTGCATGGATCGAATCGGATCGGATTTAGCACATTTCGGATTGAAATTTCGGATTTCGGATTCCACAAAATGCAATCCGAATCCGATCCGAATTATATCGGATTGCATAATTTCGGATCGGTTTGGTGATCGGATTCAACAGTTCATAACAGAACAAAATTAACATAAACAACAGTTCAATTCAACATAGTTCTAATTCTTGTGAACATCAGTCCTAATCCACATAGTTCTTGGTCATCTCTATAGTTCTAATTCTTGTGAATAAAGTTCTCGAACATCAGTCCTAATCCACATAGTTCTTGGTCATCTCTATAGTTCTAATTCTTGTGAACAAAGTTCTCGAACATCAGTCCTAATTGACATACACATAGTTAATAATTATAATTCAACAAGAAAAGGAAAGCTGCAAATCCTAATTCTTGTGATAGAATCCATTACATAAACAAAACACAATCTTCATAACAAAACAAAATATACTGAAATCTCAAATATATGTCTAATGATTTGAAATCCTCAACCAGAATTCCTTAATAGACTACACAAAAGAGTTTCAAGTTCCAACTTCTATGGCCATCGCACTCAATCCTGATTCCTGGCACGCTTTCAAGTTCTGCAACACTGCACTTGTCAAAAATAAGAGGATCAGTAAATCACAGCCTTAAGTAAATGAGAGAAACAATGGTACAAGCAATTTCCACGCATCAGCCATTCAGCCTAATACTGGGCAGAACATTTCTCAAACTTCAAACACACTACAATTGTACAACAGAACAAAGTATGCAAGCATGTTGCAATATCCATTCCAACAGAACAAAGTATCAATTTGGAAGAAATACCTTAGCAAATGACATATTAGCAAATGCCTTTTTTGGCTACTCTTGCTCTAGCATTTCAAATACTTGGTATGGTATATGGTGATACGGGCACAAGCCCTTTATATGTTTTCTCAGATGTATTCAGCAAAGTCCACATATTACCATACAAATAGGAAAGCAACATATACATTTTTTGGATAATATACTCATATTACCATACAAAGATTTCGCAAATGAAACAAATCAAAGTAATTCCTTCAAGTAAACATAAATGGTTAGTAATCTGCCACCAAAAGCTTATTTGTAAGAAAATCATATAATCTTAGAAACTTCACTCCCAAATCATATACTGGATAAAGTCATAAAACTGATGAACACCATAAATGTTGTTAGATTGAACATACTAATGAACACCAGATATACTTTCTCATGCATAATATATCAGCACCCAAATGTATCAATTCATTTGGATAAAAGCAGAATTACTAAAGTTTGGGAAATGAAATCTTACCTTCTACATGTCAACGATGCAAGGCTCTCTTCCGGTATTAATAAAGTCTGTAGAATAAGATAGTAATAGAATAAATTAGTTTAAAAATAATCTAAAGAAACATAACATAAGTATACATTAAACACAAGTAAAGTAATTGAAGAAATAAGATAGTCTTACCCGCTTCAAATTGTTCAAGATTATCTAAATCTTCTTCAATTTTAACCGGAGTTGTTGATTCGTTCCGAAGCCAATCTTGGACACACACAAGAGCTTGAACCAATCTAGGAGTCAATGAACTCCTAAATGGATCAAGTATGCGTCCACCGGTACTAAATGCTGATTCTGAGGCAACACTAGAAATAGGAATGGCTAGCACATCACGTGCCATCTCAGCAAGTGCGGGAAATCTGGGTGAATTCAACTTCCACCACCCCAGAATTTTAAAATTTTCAAAGTCTTCCTCAACATCTTCACCCAAATATTTATCTAACTCTGTTTTAGAATCAATTCCTTCACCCTTCTTATGCTTCTTTAAATCTAACATGAATTTTGAAGGCGACGATGAAGAAGTAGATGAAGTTGGAGAAGATGGACATGAACCAGGGGAAGATGGAGAAGATGGACATGAACCGGAAGATGGAGAAGATGGAGATGAACCAGAACCACCATTCTTCTTTGCATACACATTGAACAAAGATTCCATGTATGTCTTCACCTCAATTTGTATTTTCACACCTATTGTTTCTCCAAACATGGCAGCAAGAGCAAACAAAAGAGATTGAAACTTGTGGCGTGGATCGAACACACATGAAGTAAAAATCATTTTGTTCATCTTTTGTGGATCCCCCCAATACTTATCAAACTTCTCTTTCATATTATTTGCCATTTCTTTCAAGGTAGCATCTTCACTTTGCATCAACTCTTTCAAAGAAGAACCAACAACACATATCTCAAGAAAGTGCACATTAGACGTAATATAAAGTGTACCTGATACCTTCAAGGTGAGTTCATAAAATATTTCAAGAAACTTCACAATACGTCTTACACTATCCCAATCAGTACTTAAAAGTGGACCTGCAGGCTGTCCATCCTCACAAATACAGTTAGAAATACATGACATCAAACCATAATCAATATCACAATATTTTGTAAAGGCTTCCTCATAAACTGTAGCAACCTTCAACATCAAATATGTGGAGTTCCACCTAGTAGGAACATCGAAGCACAATGATATTTTAGAAGTTATCTTATCGAGATCACAACATTCTTTAAACTTCTTCCATCTTGCTGGAGATTGTCTAATGTACCTAACAACTTGTATTATTCGTTCCACAGACAAACTCCCTTCTCTCAACCCATCTTGAACAACTAGATTGATGATGTGAGTCATACATCTAACATGAACATGCTTACCTTCCATCAAGTTAGTGTTCCATCTAGTAAATTGTTTGGATAATTCTTTAACCATGACATAGTTAGAACTTGCATTATCAACTGTCACAGTAAATACTTTATCCACTCTCCATTCAAGTAAACACTTAGCAACACCACTAGCTAAATCTTGACCTTTGTGACTAGTAATTGGACGAAAATTTAATATCTTTTTATGCAAATTCCAATTCTTGTCAATGTAATGTGCTGTAACACACATATAGTTAATTCTTTGAATTGATNTGACTAGTAATTGGACAAAAATTTAATATCTTTTTATGCAAATTCCAATTCTTGTCAATGTAATGTGCTGTAACACACATATAGTTAATTCTTTGAATTGATGTCCATGTATCAGTCATAATACAAATTCTCTGTTTTGATTCTTTAAAAATTGACTTCAAAGCAAGTCTTTCATCATGGTAAATCTCAAGACAATCTCTAGTCATAGTAGTACGAGATGGAATATGAAATAAAGGTTGAAGAGCTCTCACGAAGTCTCTAAATCCATCCTTTTCAACAGAAATGAAGGGTTGTTCATCTATAATTATCGTACGAGCTAAAGCCCTCCTACATGACTCTTGATCAAATTTCTAAGGGATAAGTGAGACATCACCTGTTTCACCTTTCGGTTGAAAAGCTAATTTTGTCTGGCTTGTCTCCGGCTTGTAGGGATTGTTCGGACACTTGAGAAGATGTGATAGCAAATTGCTTGTACCACTGGTTTTGGTGTTAGCTACATATTCTTCTGGACAGTACTTGCATTTCACTTTTTTAACACCCTCGTCATCAGTGAACTTACTGAAGTGTCGCCAAGCTACTGATCTTTCTTTCATGGTTTTTCTTTTCTTCGAACCAGATTCAGATTCGAAGTTGGTTGTGAAATCATTTGAAGCACCACTTTCACCATATTTTACAAGAGCTTGAACTTTATTCACCATCTCTACCTCATATTCCATCTATGAAACAAAACAAAAAATTAAAATTAAAATCAGATTCAAAATAGTAGTACAGTATGGTCTATTTCTGTTTAAGAAAGTCAAGAGTGAAACCCCCAATTTATTTCATCAATTTTATCCAAGAAATAAAAGAGAACAAACACTTCCTTTAAGCTCTAAGAAAGGGGGAGAAAGAGAGAGAGAACGAGAGAGAAGGAGTGGGTCTTAGTGTCTTACCAGTGCAGTAACACAGAGAAGAGATAGAGGAAGCGACAAGCAGGAGCAGCTTGAGGCGTGAAGTGAGCAGCAGTCTCTGGGTGTGGGTGGATTCTGAGTCTCAGATAAGGTTGTGACTTGTGAGAAAAGAACAAGAATGAAATAAGACCTAACACTAAAAATAAAATTAGTATTTATACTTCCCTTAATAAATTCGGATTTCGGATCGCATCGGGTTCAAACTATACAAATCCGAATCCAATCCGAAAATTTGAAATTTTAATAAATCAAATCTGAATCCGATCCAAATATCCGAAATCCGAAATTGAGCGGATCAGATTTCGGATATCCGATCCAAATGCACAGCCCTACCGGTTAGGCTCGGGCCCGGCCCACGCCCGCGAGCCCATATGGGTAGTGGGCCTAAACGGGCCTAACCGTTTAAACCCAGGACTAAGTGGGGTGGGCTCCTAAGTGGGCCGTTTCACTGAGAAAGCCCGTGAGGATCGGGACCGTTTGGGCCCGGGACCGGCTGCTAAGTGGGCTGATTCAACCTGTCCTAAACGGGCTCAAACGGGCCCAACGACTATTTCTTTTTTAAAAATTCTATTCCAAATTTTTTTTAGCCGTTACTTAAGTTTAAAAAATGGCCGTTGGTTTTCAAAAATAGCAGTTTGCTATTTCTAAAATAGCCATTTAACCCCTCCCAGCCTTGTCTTAACCCCAAACTTTTTATAATTACACTTTTTCCCTATTTTCAACTATAAATACCCCCTCATTCTTTCATTTTTCTCACAAAACCATCAATCTCTCTCTAAATTTTTTCTATAATTGCTTACTTTATTGTTGCAATTTGTGAAAAATTGTGAAGTTGGTGAATTGAAGTATTCAAGTCTTAAAAGATATATAATTTCAACAAGTTGTTCGTCAATTCGGTAAACTCGTTCCAACTCTTAAGTTTTATATTATAGTTTTGTTTTGTTTTATTTACTTTTGTATTATTTGATTAATTAAGATGGATTTTTCGTTAAAGAAATATTTAGTAAAAATAAGGGAAAATCCAAGAGTGGTGAATCTAGTGGCCAATCTATTCCTCCTCCAATTCTCTGGCTCCCCTACCCAAACCCCATACCCCCTCCACCTACTCCTATTCTTGATAGTAATACTTTATTACAATTTACTGAGAGTCAATATTTGCATAATGTTGGAGGTGGTGAGCAATTAGACCATGAATATATGAATGCTCTTTAAGGGTGATGGTATGAGAATTTTAAATGTTGAAATTGAAAAGGTTAAAATGGCTCTTCACTGACTTTTTATTCAAACTGTAGAAGTAGACTTAGAGAATATTTTAAAAGATGCGATAAATTTGGCCTAAGAGAAAGAAAGATTCCTAAACCTTGTCCAACTAGATGGAATTACATGTATAAAAGTTTAGTTGTTGCATATGAATATAGAAATTACATAAACTCAACGTTTAATGCTCATGTAAGTGATGATGATGAGCACCTTACAAATGCGGATTGAGCTAATGTTAAAATGCTTGAAGATTTTTTTAGAAAAATTTCATATTGCTACGATGAATTTTCTGGGTAATATTATCTTACTATTTCTAATTGTTTAGTTTATCTTGCAGAACTTGCAAATTTGTTTGTTTATTTTTCAGAGGATGGAGAAATTTATGAACAAACTATTGATTCTATGAGAAGGAAATTTAAAAAATATTTTTTCCCTATTCCCCCTATGTATGGTGTTGCTGCCTTATTAAATCATACTATGAAATTAGGAGGTCCTCAATATTGGTATCAATCTATTTATAATGGTTTAGCACTTGAAGATGAGGAGCTGTCTGCACTTTCGGATGCACAAGCCTCAATTAAAATAAATGCTCAAACTATTTATAGTGCTTATCAAATTGCAATAGATAATGCTAGACCAAATGTTCCAACTCCTTCTTCTTCTAGTTCTCAATCATTTAAAAGAACTGCGGGAGTAATAGCGCTTACTGCTTGGGCCGGGCTCAGGGGTTCTCAAGGTTCTAGTACTAGTAATTGTTCACAACTAAATGAGCTTGAAGTTTATTTGTCACAGGGAATTGAGGAAGTGAATCCCGACGGCTCCTTTAATATTTTGGAATGGTGGAAGGACAAAGAAAAATATTTTCCAATTCTTTCAAGGATGGCCCGAGACATTTTAACTATTCAAGCTTTAACAATGGCATCGGAGAGCGCTTTCAGTCAAGCAAGACTTCAACTCGGTGATTATAGAACGTTCAGTACTTTTCAGAGATTTGATCCATTCGGAACGAAGAAATTTTGGACTTGCTGAATCACAACCAGAGGTAGACGAAGCTTACGAAGAAATACTAGCTGAACTTGCGGAGGATGCAGCTTCGCTCGGAAGCGGTGATAAACAAGCTTCTTTTCCGCCACCACCAACGGAAGTTCCTCTGAACCTTGAAGGATTTATGAAGTTTATAAGAGATACCATGTAAAATTAATATGTAACTTGTATTTTGGCACATCTTGATTAGTTTCTTTTTCTTCTCAATGGTGGTATTAGCACCTTGTTGTGCTCATTCCATTGGCCGGAGGAAGACTNTATGAAATTTGTAAGAGATACCATGTAAA